CGTTGGGGATGCGGCCGCTGAGGGTTCTGAGTCTGCTGTTGCGCGGTCTCCTTGGAGTGGCCGCCTTCGTCCACGTGTGCCTCTCACCCCACAGCAGCTGCAGGACTGGTACGGTCGCCGTCAGCGTCGCGCTGCTGGAGCTAGGAGTGGTGCTGGTCCTTTGTCTACTGGAGGTGCTGGAGTCGCTGGTTCTGGAGGTGCTCGTGCTGGAGACACTGAGGCTGGAGACCCTGGGACTGGAGGTGCTGGTTCTGGGGGTGCTGCTGCTGGAGACACTGAGGCTGGAGACCCTGGGACTGGAGCTTCTGGAGCTGCTGGAGGTACGGGAGCTGCTGGAGGTACTGGAGCTGCTGGAGGCACTGGAGCTGCTGGAGCTGCCGGTACTGGTGCAGCTGCGCCGACACGGCTGTTCTTCGCTCCGCCGTCTCCGTCGTCTCTGCCGCCGCCTGACTCTGCTCTTCGTCAGGTTGTTACTCTCCCGTCGTCTACTGGTCTTCCGTTACAGCCTGGCTCACCGCTGCCTGCTCCTTCTCCTTACACTGAGCAGACTGGTAGTCCTGCTGAGCGTCGTGAGCCTGCGTCGCGTCCTGTCTCGCCTGCTCGTCCTGGTCGTACCGGTCGTCGTGTTCCTCGTTCGCGTCAGCCGGCTGTCCCCAGCGCACGCCTCGTAGTCCGTCGTCCTTCCTCTGCTCTGCAGCCTGTTCCTCTGCCGTCTCCCCCTGCGTCCTCTCTGCCTGCCGTTCCGGACCCTGAGTCTGACAGGTTTCGTACTGAGCACCCTACTGTCACGCGTCTCCTAGCCACTGTTGTCACTGACCCGTCGTTTGAGTCTACTGCTGCGTCTGCCTTGGTCGCTGAGCTAGTTGACTTTGCTGCTGCCTGTCGTCTAGACTACGCCGCCAGTCTTGTTGCTGAGTCTGAGTCTGTCTGTCCTCCGTCCGTCGGGGGTGAGTGTGCTCTTAGCACGGACGTCCTTGAGGACAGGCAGGAGGAGTTCCAGTGTCTTGCTGCTGCTTTACCTCATCTTGTGTCCTCGCTACTTGCCCCTGAGGGAGACCCGGATGCACCAGACATCCCGACTCCGCGCTCTTACGCAGAGGCGATAGAGGGTCCCTACTCCTCTCAGTGGCAGGCAGCCATGGATGCAGAGATGGCTTCCTGGAAGTCCACAGGCACCTACGTTGACGAGGTTCCCCCACCTGGGGCGAACATCGTTAGTGGCATGTGGATTTTCAGGGTGAAGCGGCCGCCGGGTTCTCCGCCTGTCTTCAAGGCACGTTACGTGGCTCGAGGCTTCAGTCAGCGAGAGGGAGTTGACTTCTTCCAGACCTTCTCCCCCACCCCGAAGATGACCACTCTTCGAGTGCTGCTGCACGTTGCTGCTCACCGTGACTACGAGCTTCACTCTCTTGACTTCAGCACAGCTTTCTTGCAGGGTAGCCTGCACGAGGAGATCTGGCTGCGCCGCCCCCCGGGCTTCACTGGGTCGTTCCCTCCTGGTACCCAGTGGAGCCTCAGGCGGCCAGTCTACGGTCTCCGCCAGGCGCCACGTGAGTGGCACGACACACTGAGGACTACGCTTGCGGCTCTTGGGTTTGCGCCTTCTACTGCTGACCCGTCGCTGTTTCTGCGCACCGACACTTCACTGCCGCCGTTCTACATCCTCGTGTACGTCGACGACTTGGTTTTTGCCACTGCTGACACTGAGGCTCTCGCCCACGTGAAGTCGGAGCTGCAGAAGAGACACACGTGCACAGACTTGGGTGAGCTGCGCAGCTACCTTGGCTTGCATATCACCCGGGACAGAGCACGCCGCACCATCACCTTGACTCAGTCACACATGGTGCAGCAGGTCCTTCAGCGCTTCGGCTTCACCTGGTCTTCAGCACAGGCCACTCCTCTGGCTACAGGTCACACGCTCTCAGCTCCACCTTCGGACGAGTCCGTAGAGCCGAGTGGTCCTTACCCAGAGCTAGTCGGCTGCCTCATGTACCTGATGACTTGCACTCGACCTGACCTCGCGTACCCTCTTGGTCTCCTGGCTCGCTACGTGGCTCCTGGTCGGCACCGACCTGAGCACATGGCTGCTGCTAAGAGGGTACTGCGTTACTTGTGCAGCACATCAGGCATGGGGCTAGTGCTTGGAGGGACGAGCCCAGTTGTCCTCACTGGGCACTCAAACGCTTCTTGGGTTGACGACCTGGCTACTCAGCGGTCGTCACAGGGTTACACCTTCAGCCTTGGCTCTGGTTCAGTTTCGTGGCGTTCTACACGCTCGTCTTCAGTTCTCGGCTCCAGTTGTGAGGCTGAGATCTACGCCACCGCCATGGCTGCACAGGAGTTACGCTGGCTCACCTACCTGCTGACTGACTTGGGAGAGCAGCCTCGTTCTCCTCCAGTGCTGTACGTTGACAACAAGGCCGCCATTGCCTTGTGTGAGGAGCACAGACTGGAGCACAGAACGAAGCACATTGCTCTGCGGTACTTCCTGGCTCGAGAGTTGCAGCAGCGAGGCCAGCTTCGTCTTCGCCACGTGGCCACTCGGGCCAACACTGCTGATATATTCACCAAGGCACTTCCGTCTGGTGATCATCAGCGCTTTTGTACTCTGTTAGGCCTTGTGCCTACGTTTCCACACTTGCTGTAGTCTCTGCTTGTACTGTGATCTGTACATATATATATATATGCATGCTGGCTCTTGCTAGGTAGCCATCACTGTACTGTTATTGCTGCATATATATCTCTGCATGTGAACTGGCCCTGTGGCCCTTTGCTTGTGCTCGGAATGCGTGGTGACGTTGTGATCCACCCTGAGCTTGTTTTGCTTCTCTTGACTGGTCGTGTGACCTCTTGTTCTCCCCCACTTTGCCTATGGGGGTGTGACAAACTATATGTGCTGCATATTGTCTAGGCTGTAGTGGGGTAGCCCATATGGGGTACAACCCAATTAGGGTTTACTACTTGTACTCCTGCATCCTGTTAGTTCACCCATTCCTGCTGCTAGATTCTAACACGTGGAAGGGTTGCAAGCATCATTGGTCATCGGCACTTGAGAATGAAGAGCGCCCGCTGCGCTTCCTGCACATGTGCGGATCCTAGCGCGTTTTGAGGTTAGAAGCGCTCGCAGTGAGCGTTTTTCTTCAACCAGGTCACGTGGCTGCGCTTGTCTAGGCCTCTTGCCAAGCCAGCAAGGGCGTGGAAGGGTTGCAAGCATCATTGGTCATCGGCCCTTGAGAATGAAGAGCGCCCGCTGCGCTTCCTGCACATGTGCGGATCCTAGCGCGTTTTGAGGTTAGAAGCGCTCGCAGTGAGCGTTTTTCTTCAACCAGGTCACGTGGCTGCGCTTGTCTAGGCCTCTTGCCAAGCAAGCAAGGGCGTGGAAGGGTTGCTAGCATCATTGGTCATCGGCCCTTGAGAATGAAGAGCGCCCGATGCACTTCCTCCACATGTGCGGATCCTTGCGCGTTTTGAGGCTAGAAGCGCTCGCGGTGAGCGTTTTTCTTCTACTAGGTCACGTGGCTGCGCTTGTCTAGGCCTCTTGCCAAGCCAGCAAGGGCGTGGAAGGGTTGCGAGCATCATTGATCATCGGCCCTTGAGAATGAAGAGCGCCCGCTGCACTTCCTCCACATGTGCGGATCCTAGCGCGTTTTGAAGCTAGAAGCGCTCGCAGTGAGCGTTTTTCTTCTACCAGGTCACGTGGCTGCGCTTGTCTAGGCCTCTTGCCAAGCCAGCAAGGGCGTGGAAGGGTTGCGAGCATCATTGGTCATCGGCCCTTGAGAATGAAGAGCACCCGCTGCACTTCCTCCACATGTGCGGATCCTAGCGCGTTTTGAGGCTAGAAGCGCTCGCAATGAGCGTTATTCTTCTACCAAATCACGTGGCTGCGCTTGTCTAGGCCTCTTGCCAAGCCAGCAAGGGCGTGGAAGGGTCGCGAGCATCATTGGTCATCGGCCCTTGAGAATGAAGAGCGCCCGCTGCACTTCCTCCACATGTGCGGATCCTAGCGCGTTTTGAGGCTAGAAGCGCTCGTTCTGAGCGTTTTTCTTCTACCAGGTCACGTGGCTGCGCTTGTCTAGGCCTCTTGCCAAGCCAGCAAGGGCGTGGAAGGGTCGCGAGCATCATTGGTCATCGGCCCTTGAGAATGAAGAGCGCCCGCTGCACTTCCTCCACATGTGCGAATCCTAGCGTGTTTTGAGGCTAGAAGCGCTCGTTCTGAGCGTTTTTCTTCTACCAGGTCACGTGGCTGCGCTTGTCTAGGCCTCTTGCCAAGCCAGCAAGGGCGTGGAAGGGTTGCGAGCATCATTGGTCTGAACCGTGGGGGCCGATGCGAGGCTTGCGATTTTCTTCATCACGACAGCGGTGTACTGTAACAGTTCCGACGGTGTGACTCGATTGGGGATGGAGTAGAGTCGAGACGAAAGAGACTTGTGGGAGGGAGGATGCCAGTGGGGGTGGAATTGAGGGCTTCATTTCATCCCTGCCCTTGGTCGCCTCGCCCCAGAGAGAAAGGACACTCAAATTGGAGCGATGTGCTCAGCTCAGGTCAAATGTGCGCGCATGGTCGTGCCTGGGGAACAACGCCGCGTCGCGAAGTCCTTTTTAATTCCGAGCCGCGATGTTGAAAAGGACCTTGCGTTTTTATGGTTCTGAACTTCAAGTTCGATTTGATGGGAAAGGACAATGGGGAAGAACCGCAAAACAGCTGCGCTACTATTAGAATAAGCTATAAGCTATGCGTACTAAAATATGTGCTAAATGGTGCAGCACCTGCTATGGACTCTTGAGAACGTAACCGCGGTACCACAATCCTCTCCTCATTGGGAAAATACAAGGGGAAAATGCATAACATGCGCATTCGTTGGCCCGTAAACCCAGCATTACAAAAACACACGCATTGGGGGGCATGGTGCAGCACATGTTGTGTTGCAGCACTTCCATTTACGTGCTACATCATTACGGTATTGCCCACATTGTGCATACTAAAAACTACATCACACAAATCAAGACCGAGCACTAGTTCTCAGCTTCAGCAACCTATACTTCTGCAAGAGCGATTTCACTCGGGCCCACAACGGCATGGCCTCTGGTAACCGCATGGTAACCACAAGGGCGCAGAACACAAGAAATCCTGCAGCAGCTGTCGTGCCGAGTGCTGCTGCGTCTAGTAACCACACCCATGTGGGACGCAAGGAGAGCGAGTGAGAGGCGGCTGTGAGCGCGGTAGAGAGGAGCTTGTGCGTGGCTGTGACAGTGATAGCTGTGGCTGCGGCTGATTGGAAGAGAATTGAGAATGAGGGCCACCAGAGCGACAGAGGGAGGCCTGCAGAGGGAGGGGAAGAAAAGGGAGGGAAAAGTGCAAGGAGTTGGTGAGTTTGTTGCAGGAATAGTGGTAGCAGTGGTAGTGATGGCGGTGGCAGCAGCTGATTGGAAGAGGATTGAGAAAGTGGGCCAACAGAGAGAGAGAGGGAGGCCTGCAGGGTTGGGGGGGAAAGGGGAAGAGGGAGAACAGCTAGTGAGTGTATGACAGTGAAAGCTGTCACAGCAGCTGATTGGAAGAGGATTGAGAAAGAGGGCCACCAGAGCGAAAGAGGAGACCTGCAGGGTGAGGGGAAGAAACTGGGGGGAGACGTGCAAGGTGGGATAGGAGTTGGTGAGTTTGTTGCAGGGATAGTGGTAGCAGTGGTAGTGATGCCAGTCGCAGCGGCTGATTGGAAGAGGATGGAGAATGAGGGCCACCAGAGGGTGAGAGGTAGGCCTGCAGAGAGAGGGGGGGTTAGAAAGAGGGAGAAGAGCTAGTGAGTGAGAGGCGGCAGTAAGGGCGGCCGAGAGGAGCTTGTGTGTGGCAGCGACTGTGATCCCCGTGGCACTGCTCACAGCGGCTGTAGTGAGCACAACACAAACCCCTGGAGGGGGGGGAATCATAGGGCAGTCAGCCATCCAGCCTTCCACTCACCTCCCAATCTCCTGTGCGCCAGCCACAGCAGCGCTACAGCCAAGGCAGTGTTCACAGCGGCTGTAGCAAGCACAAGGCCATGTGGAGAACATAAAAGCAGTGGGCATTTTGCTCACCTCCCATTCTCCTGTACGCCAGCCACAGCAGCGCTACAGCCAAAGCCGTGTTCACAGCGGCTGTAGCAAGCACAAGGCAAACTGCTGATGGGAAACATAGAGGACGCAACCAGTGTTCCACTCACCTCCCATTCTCCTGTGCGCCAGCCACAGCAGCGCTACAGCCGAGGCAGTGTTCACAGCGGCTGTAGCGAGCACAAGGCCCTGGGGGCCAAACTCCCAGCGGCTCACGAACAGGAAATCCAAGACCGCGTTGGCTGCTATAGCGAACGTGCTTATAAGGAAGGGCGTGGTGCCGTCAGCGAGGGAGTAGAAGAGACGAACGAGCACGTCCCGAGCCAAGTAGCAAGGGGAGCCGAGGAGGTCTGTGGGGTGAAGGTGGGAGAATGGAGGGGCATGTACACAGGGAAGAGAGGGGGGGAAGGGCGTGGTGCCGTCAGCGAGAGAGTAGAAGAGACGCACGAGCACGTCCCGAGCCAGGTAGCAGGGGGAACCGAGGAGGTCTGGAGGGTACACAGAGGGGGGAAGAAAGTAGATAATGCACATGAAGCAGTGTGTGGCATAAGAGAGGGAGTAGAAGAGACACACGAGGACATCACGAGCCAGGTAGCAGGGGGAACCGAGGAGGTCTGGTATCGAAAGAAGGGGAAAGAAGGGGAAAGAAGGGGGATAGGGGAAAAGTGAGTGAACAGTTTCTTGAGGCAGTGTGAGCCGTCAGCGAGGGAGTAGCAGAGACGAACGAGGACATCACGGGCCAAGTAGCAAGGCGAGCCGAGGAGGTCTGGAAGGGAAAGAGAAGTGAAAGAAAGGGGCAAGGAGGGTAAGTGCATAAGGAAGGAGTAGAAGAGACGAACGAGCACGTCCCGAGCCAGGTAGCAGGGGGAACCGAGGAGGTCTGGAGAAAGAAGGGGAAAGAAGGGGGATAGGGGAGAAGTAAGTGCACACTTTCTTGAGGCAGTGTGAGCCGTCAGCGAGGGAATAGAAGAGACGCACGAGCACGTCGCGAGCCAAGTAGCAAGGGGAGCTGAGGAGGTCTGAAGACAAAAAGTTGGGGAAGAGAGGGGAAAGGCAGGGGAAGAGAGGGGGGAAGCAGGGTGTGGTGTCAGAGAAGGAGTAGAAGACGCACGAGCACGTCGCGAGCCAAGTAGCAAGGGGAGCTGAGGAGGTCTGAAGACAAAAAGTTGGGGAAAGGCAGGGGAAGAGAGGGGGGAAGCAGGGTGTGGTGTCAGAGAAGGAGTAGAAGACGCACGAGCACGTCGCGAGCCAGGTAGCAGGGGGAACCGAGGAGGTCTGGAGAAAGAAGGGGAAAGAAGGGGGATAGGGGAGAAGTAAGTGCACACTTTCTTGAGGCAGTGTGAGCCGTCAGCGAGGGAATAGAAGAGACGCACGAGCACGTCGCGAGCCAAGTAGCAAGGGGAGCTGAGGAGGTCTGAAGACAAAAAGTTGGGGAAGAGAGGGGAAAGGCAGGGGAAGAGAGGGGGGAAGCAGGGTGTGGTGTCAGAGAAGGAGTAGAAGACGCACGAGCACGTCGCGAGCCAAGTAGCAAGGGGAGCTGAGGAGGTCTGAAGACAAAAAGTTGGGGAAAGGCAGGGGAAGAGAGGGGGGAAGCAGGGTGTGGTGTCAGAGAAGGAGTAGAAGACGCACGAGCACGTCGCGAGCCAAGTAGCAAGGGGAGCTGAGGAGGTCTGAAGACAAAAAGTTGGGGAAAGGCAGGGGAAGAGAGGGGGGAAGCAGGGTGTGGTGTCAGAGAAGGAGTAGAAGACGCACGAGCACGTCGCGAGCCAAGTAGCAAGGGGAGCTGAGGAGGTCTGAAGACAAAAAGTTGGGGAAGAGAGGGGGAAGGCAGGGGAAGAGAGGGGAAAGGCAGGGGAAGAGAGGGGGGAAGCAGCGTGTGGTGTCAGAGAGGGAATAGAAGAGACGGACGAGCACGTCGCTGGCCAAGTAGCAAGGGGAGCCAAGGAGGTCTGGGGGAGAGTGAAAAAGAGAGGTGAAGGGATGAGGAGTGGAAGGGCATAATCATCATTGGAAAACCTATCGCCCTCACCCATAGCTCATTTTGAGGCGCCTCTAAAAGGTGTATTTTGAGGCGACTCAAATTACACCTCACTGCACAAGGCAAGGGGATGAGGAGTGGAAGGGCATTATCATCATGGGAAAACCTATCACCCTTACCCACAGCTCCTGACCATAAAAATAAGCATTGGGACTAAAGAAAAAGAAGAAGCTTTTACGGCGTGTGCAGATAGGGAGAGAGGAAGGACAGGCAGGAAGTACTGACAGCAGGAGAGGAGCGAGGAGACGAGGGAGGTGGCAGAGGCATCGAAGGAGCGACGCTGGGAGAGGAGAGCAAGGTGAGAACTACTGGCAGCATTTAAACAGAGAGGAGATAGGCAGGGTATACTGACAGCAGGAGAGGAGCGAGGAGACGAGGGAGGTGGCAGAGGCATCGAAGGAGCGGCGCTGGAAGACAATTCGAACGATGGGACGGGCCAATGGGAGCATGACAGCTGTCATTGGGAGAGTTACGGCCTGCGAGGGTGAAGGGAGGGGGCGGAAGGGGATGGGATGAGGTGGGGTGGGGTGGGGTGGAGTGAGGTGAGGTGAGGAGGGATTGGGTGCAGAAGAATGCGGTGGAATGGTGAGGTAAGGTGGGGTGGGGTGAGGTGACGTTGGTTGCGGTGAGGTGTAATGCGGTGTGAGATGAGAGGATGACGATGCTGAAATAGAGGCAGTGCAGCATGTGGTCTTATGAGCATGTGAGTTCACTTTTGAGAATTTCATGTGGCATTGGGGTGGGAGTTAACGAAAGGGCTTCAAGCATTTGGCATTGCCACCACACCATGCCATCCCCCCATACCATCGCCACACCGTGCCATCCCCCCATACCATCGCCACACCGTGCCATCCCCCCATACCATCGCCACACCGTGCCATCCCCCCATACCATCGCCACACCGTGCCATCCCCCCATACCATCGCCACACCGTGCCATCCCCCCATACCATCGCCACACCGTGCCATCCCCCCATACCATCGCCACACCGTGCCATCCCCCCATACCATCGCCATGACCAGCCCTCGTCGCAAGCTATCCTTTAAGAGTGGGCGATCCTTAGGCTGGGAAGGGGAGGAGAGGGAGAGGGGGGGGAACGGTGGGAGAGTTGGAAGGAAGAGTGGTTGATAAGTGAGGGACAGAGTGGGGATGGGGACTTGGGATACGCAGGACAGATACACATTCACATGAGCTAGGCGGGCAAAGGAGAGCAGAGGCAGGAGAAGGAGCAGCAGACTGAGGAGACGCACGGTTCCCCTCACACGCTCTAACTTACATGAGCCAAGCGGGCAAAGGCAGGCAGCAGCGGCACAAGGAGGGCGGTTGAGAGAATGCCAAGGGGTGCCATGACGAGAAGATTGGCGTCTGGAGAAGAGGGGGTGGTGGGGAGGGCAGGAAAAGAGAGATGAGTGAAGGTGGCATTTAGTGCAATGAAAGGAGAGGCGTGAATGCTGGCCTGAGCAGCAGCTGAGAGCAGCAGATGCTGCTGCATCGGAACATCAGATTTTTTATAGCATCAGCACTTACAGCCGAGAGCAGCAGCGGTGATGGGGAGGGGAGGAAGGAGGTGAAGAAAAAGGTTTGTGAAGGTGGCGATTTGAAGATAAATGATAATTGGAACGATGGATAAACCAGCACCCAGAACTCACAGCCGAGAGCAGCAGCGGTGCCAGGAAGGAAAGAAGCGAAGTAGAGGTCGGTGAAGGTGGCGAATGGGGGACATTGGGTGCAGGGAGGGGAGTGCCGAGTCCAGCCCGCACAGCACCCAGAGGCAGGAGCACAGCACACACACTCAGCACTCACAGCCGAGAGCAGCAGCGGTGCCGGGAAGGAAGGAAGCAAAGTAGAGGTCTGTGAAGGTGGCGATTTGCAGCATGCCCGATGCAATGGTTGCTGGGATCAGCACGCCAAAGACCTAGTGGGGAAGGGGAGGACAGAGAGAGATCAGAATAGAGGAAACAGTGAGTGACAGGCAGCAAAGTAGAGGTCTGTGAAGGTGGCGATCTGCAGCATTCCCGATGCAACGGTTGCTGGAATGAGAACGCCAAAGACCTGGGGGGAAGGGGGCGATCACAGAGGAACAAATGAGTGGTTGGAAGGAGAGAACAGGTCAGTCAATGTGGCGATCTGAAGCATGCCCGATGCGACGATGGCTGGGATCCGCACACCCACACCAAAGACCTGGTAATAGGAGGAGGGGGGGTTACAAAGTGACATTAGAAGGGAGAAGACACTGAGGGGCAGGCAGCATAGTAGGGTTGGTGAAGAGGTGGGCATTTGAAGCACGGTGAATATCCGGAAGGAAGGGGAGCAGAGGGGAGGAGACAGAGAGAGCAAAGACAGGAGGAGCGAAACACAGCGATTGTATGGAGAAAAGTTCGAGGAAGGTGGCCATCTGTAGCATGCCAGTACGCTTCAGAATTCCTAGCACTCCTGGCTGATGGCGCTGATGGTGCCGTTCGATTCGACTTCTCACCTCTCTCAACCGCTTCTCACCTCTTTCAGCTGTTCGCTGTGTCGGGCAAACAGCGCAGTCAGAGGCAGCCAGGTGGGGGCAGGCGTTTGAGTGGCTGCTGCTGTTGCTGCCGCTGCTGCTGCTGCTGTTGCTGCTGGTGGTGCTGGTGCCAGTAGTGCTGCTGTTTTTGCTGCTGTTGTTGTCGGTGCTGCTGGTGCTGCTGGTGGTGCTGTTTTAGCTGCTGCTGCTGGCGGTGCTGCTGCTGCAGGTGCTGATGCTGGCAAATCCTCTGGTTGTGCTGTTGTCACCACCACTTGCACTGCTGTTTGTACTGCTGTTCCAGGTGGTGGTGGTGCTGCCAGTCGCTGTGGTGCTGGTGCAGAGCGGATTTCTGCTGCAAGCTGGGATAGGCACAGGCAAAGAGGAATTGGGGGGAGTGAAAGGGATAGGCATTGGAAGAGGGTCACTCGCTGTGCTGTCGTTACCACCACTTGCACTGCTGTTTGTGCCGCCGTTTCAGGTGGTGGTGCTGCAGCTGCCAGTCGCTGTGGTGCTGGTGCCGAGCGGACTTCTGCTGCAAGCTGGGATGGGATTAGGCAGAGAGAGGGTTGGGGAGAGTGCAGAGGATAGCCTGGATAGGGATAGGCAGACAGGGCGGGAGAGCTTGAAGGGGATAGGCAGAGAAGGGTTCGAACAACAGATAGACTGATATTTATTGAGCAACAGAGAAGGGTGTGACCAAGAGCACCTGAACGAAAACGTGAGTACCTACAAGCATGAGAAAGCACCTGAATCAACCACTGCAGGAAAGCGCCCGCAGTGAAGCTGACAGCCAAACACGTTCCACCTGCCATGGTGCATAGATAGGGAGAGGAGAGGAGGAAGAGAAGAGAAGGAGAAGAGACAAAAGAGGAAAGGAGCCGTTCAGGAGAGGGCAGTTGAGTGCGTGAGAGCAAATGAATCAGCCACTGCATGAGAGCGCCAGCAGTAAAGCTGACAGCCAGGCATGTTCCCCCTGCCATGGTGCATGCATAGGAAGACTAGATAGGCAAGAGAAGAAAAAGAAGGAAACGCGCACAGTCGCTCAGGAAAAGCGGAGCAATGCAGGAGAGTGCAAGAAACTAGCACCAGCAGTGAAGCTAACTGCTAAACACGTTCCACCTGCCAATGATGCATGCATAGGGAGAAAGCGAAGAGACGAGACGGAAAAGAAGAGAAGGAAGGAAGCGAAGCAAGAGAAAACAAGGGCAGGAAAGAAACAAGATACCCTGATGAGAGCTTGGAACAGAGAACCAAGTGGCAGAGAGTTGCTGAGAGCAGTGCAAAGGTCGCGGGCTTATCACGGACCTATCATGAATCTATCACAGACCAATCATGAACCTATCACACGGACCTATAATCTCGCGTTGTGGTGAGGCAATGGGGTACCAGCGACACAGAGCGAAGAAAAAGGCAATCTGCGGGAGGGAAGTGTTGGGAGGGGGAAAGAGGGTGGTGTCAACAAGTAGGCGGGGAGTAAGGAGGGGAAGAGGGGTGGGGGGCATGAGAGAAAGGCTTGGGGGTGGGGGGGTATGGAACGGCAAACTCCCCTCTCGCACTGTGAAGACCTTTGCGAACCATTTTCCCAAGAATTTTGGTACAAGGGGGAGAGGTATTTTGTACTATTACTATTAGCAGAACACCCTTGTTTACCCTGGGCCTTTTTTATGAGCTTTAGAGACTTACCCCAACCAGAACGGAGAGGCTGGAGAGGGACGGGGAGAGGGACGGAATGGCAAACTCCCCTCTCGCACTGTGGGATGGGATGGGAATGACGGGGTGGAAGGAAGCAATGAGGGAAGAACGAAGGGGTGCCGAGGGATAGGAACGAAGGGGTGCAGAGGGATGCTGAGGGAAGGAGCAGACAGAGAGAGAGAGACACAGGCAGGCAGGCAGGAAGGCAGGCAGGCAGGCAGGCAGGCAGGCAGGCAGGCAGGCAGGCAGGCAGGCAGGCAGGCAGGCAGGCAGGCAGGCAGGCAGGCAGGCAGGCAGGCAGGCAGGCAGGCAGGCAGGCAGGCAGGCAGGCAGGCAGGCAGGCAGGCACAGACGAATCACCTGAGTGTTCCGAAGCCAATGCCGATGAGAGGAGCGAGGGCGATGGTGGGGGCCATTGGTTGGCTGGACAGACACTATGTGTGTTTGAGCCAGATCACAAGAAGAGAAGGACGAAATCCGAAGCTGGCAAACAGGAACAGACGACACGAATCACCTGAGCGTTCCAAAGCCGATGCCAATGAGAGGAGCGAGGGCGATGCTGGGGGCCATATGTCGCAGCTGCGGGGGGTAAGGCAAGGGGAGCACAGTTTATAGAGATTGAAGCGTTCTGTGATCAGGAGGTGCAGGTGGAGGAGCGAGGGCGATGGTGGGGGCCATATGTTGCAGCTGCGGGGGTAAGGCAAGGGGAGCACGGTTTACAGAGATTGAGGCATGGGGGTAGGGACGCAGGGTCTGGAGAGAGCGGTCAAGGTCTCATAGAGTCTGATCATTGTGTGCTCAGGAGGAGGAGTGGAGCGAGGGCGATGCTGGGGGCCATATGTCGCAGCTGCAGGGGTAAGGCAAGGGGAGCACGGTTTTTAGAGATTGAGGCATGGGGGTAGGGACGCAGGGTCTGGAGAGAGCGGTCAAGGTCTCATAGAGTCTGATCATTGTGTGCTCAGGAGGAGGAGTGGAGCGAGGGCGATGCTGGGGGCCATATGTTGCAGCTGCAGGGGTAAGGCAAGGGGAGCACGGTTTTTAGAGATTGAGGCGTTCTGTGATCAGGGTGAGATTGAGGTGCAGGAGTGGAGCGAGGGCGATGGTGGGGGCCATATGTTGCAGCTGCATGCGGGTATGGGCGCAAGGGTTGGAAAGCACAACCATAGAGGCAGATGTAGTAAGGCATGTTACACTGGAGTCACTTTTGAGAAGTCTCAAAAGGAGGAGGCGAGGAGTGAGGGCAATGGAGTGAGCCTTTTTTTGCAGCTGACGCTGGGAGTGTAGGGGTAAATTGGGGGAAGTGAAGGTGAAGTACGGGAAACAATTTACATAGCACCATGCATGGTTCTTACCTGTGAGATGGCGACTTGGCGGGTTAGAGCGAATGATGCCACTGCTGATGGATCACTGGCGAGGGCTGCTGGAGGGTAAGAGAGGCTGCACAGAGGAAGGGCAAGGTTTTTGAGGGTGCGAATTTCTAGGCGCCTAAGAAATAGAGGCAGGTCAGGGCGAATGATGCCACTGCGGATGGATCACTGGCGATGGCTGCTGGAGGGTAAGAGAGGCTGGAAAGGGGAAGGGGGAGGTGTTTTGGGGGTGCAGAGAAGAAGAGAAATGAGAGAGGAAGAGAGAAGAAGAAACCACGCTAGCGCATTGTTGCCAAGGGAAGAGACAGATACCCTTGTTGTCTTCCCTTGGCAAACCAACGCACAACAACACCACACAATGCCATCTTAAACCACCATGCATGGCCAAAAGCCTTGCAGCACCATCCAAAACCAATAAAGTTGATTAATGATTACCCATACCATGCCATGCCATACTATGCCATGCCATGCCATGCCACGCCATGCCACGCCATGCCATGCAATGACATGACACATTACCCCGGTGCAAGAAGGTCTATGATGGGTCGTGCGCAGAGAAATATCAACAATGCTGCAACAACTGATACCTGGGAAGACAAAGATAAAGGCACAGGGGAGGAGGGGAGGGGGGGAAGAGTGGGAAAAGAGTTTTGCAGAGAGCAATGGATTCTGCAAGGAAGACCAGCAGGGCTTTTGAGGCTGTGGCTACCGCATGCAACAACTAGAGCACAGGAAGGACGGCAAGTCAGGGTGACCTGAGGGGTGACAGTTTTTCTTACCAGTACCACGAGCACTGAGACAAGAACCAGCAGCTCCTGCTGCTCCCCTCAGCACCCTTCTCAGCATCGTACCCAATACCAGACAGGCAAGAGGTGACAGGAGGCGACAGCATTTTTACCAGGGCTACTATCACCGAGACCAGCACCAGCAGCTCCTGTTGCTCCCTCGCTGGATTCCGGCCGCTCCTCTCAGCCCCCTTCTCAGTGTCCTTCCCAGCGTCCCTTTCAGCACCTTTGCTGTGCGGGCGGGAAACACGCATTTGGTTGAATTGCAAGGAGGCAAACGAAAGAGTCAAAGGCCGGCCGCCGGGAAATGTAAGATTATAAGATTATAACTCAGATGGTTCTTGTGGGAACTGCATTTCCTTCTCTTTCTCTTATTCCTTCCAGCATGCGGATTACATTTGTGGAGTCAATGATAGCATATAAGCAAACTTCCTAATATCCACTCAGCATACCTTAGGACTGAGGCGATGGCACTGTGAAAGGGGCCGTTTACACCTGCAAGGGAGGGTTTGCACAGGGGGCATAGATATGTGGGCCAGGTGGTATGTGGGGCAGGTGGTATGTGGGGCAGGTGGTATAGAATGGACTGTGACAAACAAGCGAGAATGACCGACTGTAGTGGGAAGTGAATCGTGACAGTAAAGCGAGTCTCTTGCATTATTGCACAGAACTGACCTCCGAGTAGCGACAGGCAGAAGGTTGGGATGAGCGACGCATAGCTGGGAAGGGGGGAAGGGGGGTCAGAGGGAGCGGGGGTGATGGTGGAGGAGAGGAAGGAGTGATTGAACGGGGAAGCGAGCGATTGAAGTGGGAGAGAGAGAGGAGGTGGGAGAGAGGTGGAAGAAACAAGAATCTGAGGGTTGTGACAGCCTGATCTCACCTGCAACCACCTGAGGAAACTGAGAAACACCTGAGCGCACCTGAGGGCACCTGAGGGCACCTGAGGGCACCTGAGCGCACCTGGAAGCACCTGAGGGCAGTCATGACTGGACAATGTTCTAGCCAGGAAGAACCTGATCCTACCTGAGTTCACCTGATCTCACCAAACGACATTCGAAGGCACCTGAGGACACCTGAGGGCACCTGAAGGCCGTCATGACTGGACCAACACCAAAGGCAGCTGCAAGCACCATCTCTCGCATGAGACCCTGAGGAGGGGGGAAAAGGAAGGGAGGTGATTTGTGGTTACGCATGCCCCTTGCCTTGCCCCGTGCCCCATGCCCCATGCCCCTCCCACTCCACCTACCAGGACCTTGCTGGTTGCTGCTGCCACGCCCACCGTGCTTGGTTGAACAACCACAGCCTATCCCCTCACACTCCACACACAGAGTCTCTGGAAGTAAGCCCTCACCCCTCCGTGCTTACACAGTCCACGGCTTACCAGGACCTTGCTGGCAGCTGCTGCCGCGCCCACCGTGCTGGCCGCCCGGAGGAAGGAGACTGAGGGGCAGGGAGGAAGACGGATAGGAAACGAGGGGAAGAGGAAGGAGCAAGGCGGGGGAGGGGTGGGGGTTTCGGGTTTAGCTGCCACGCCCACCGTGCTGGCCGCCCGGAGGAAGGAGACTGGGAGGCACGGGGAGAGAAGGGGATGTATACACAGAGAGAGAGATATGGGACAGGGAAAGGGGAAGATGGGGTGACGGGAGGGGGGATTGGGGACAGTGAGTGAGTGGCTGCTGCTGCCGCGCCCACCGTGCTTGCCGCCCGGAGGAAGGAGACTGGAAGGCAGGGAGAGAGAGAAGAAACTTCACGCACGTGGGCGCAAGCCTCTCTCCCCGTGTCGTTGGGAGGGCTCGGCCTGACCGACCCCACCGTGGAAGGAGGCTACAGCTTCCTCGCCAGCTACACGCAGGCGCAGCTGCTGCTTGACTCCCTGGATGGCGAGCGCATCGGCCCATTGGACGCTACACGTGAGCTCATGCGCGGCCCATACACACGGTCCTCTCCTTTGACCGAATGGCTGGCGGATTGTGAGGAGGAGCTCCCCCTGCCGGCGCAAGAGGCCCTGCAAGCAGAAAGAACAGCTCCAACCGCGGGGAAGCTGCAGCACGGCCTGGCCACGGCGATCCAGGGCCAGCGCTATGCAGTGCAGGTGGAGGAGGCGCGGGGGATGAGGCCAAACCCCAACAACGGCCACACGCAGCGGCTGCTGTCCCTGTCAGGGTACGGGGCTGGGGACTGGTTAAACGCCGTGCCCATCCACTCCTCGCTACGCCTAGAGGCCCCTCACTACGCCAACGCGGTCCAGTTCCGGCTGGGCCTCCCCTTCGCTGCTCCAGGGGTTTGCAACTGTTCAAAGAAGGTGAAGATCCCAGATAAGCGGCTACCGAACCACCTGCTACGCTGCGGCACGGGGGGGGGGACGCACAAACACACATAATGAGTTACGGGACGAGTGCGCACGGATGGCGCGAGATGCTGGATTCATGGTACACATAGAAACGGCCGCTTTCAGCCCCGTGGAGGAGAAGAAGGCGGATTTGGCCTTACGATGCCGCTCCACCGGCGCCGTCTACATCTGTGATGTGACGGTGACGGACCCCATCAGCACCCGCGACGAGAATGCATCTAAGGGGCGGGGATGGGCGGCACGGGAAGCTGCAGACAAGAAGCACGGCTTGTACACGGACCGCCCGGAGTGGGTGAAGTTCTTCCCACTAGCGGTCGAGACGTATGGGTGCCCATGCCCTGAAACAGTGGACTTCCTGAAACTGCTCGCGGATACAGCTGCAAGGCGGTTCTTCAACGCCGAGCCCACCTCCTACCAAGCTGCCAAGCTTCTACACCAATACCGGCAGCGGTGGTCGGTGGCTCTTCAAAGGGGGCAGTCGATTGGCTACCTCGAAAAGTGCAGCGTAGCAGCTGCCATAGAAAACCCACTGCTAGAGCCAGTGGGGGAGGCCCCATCCCTAGGGGACTGCCTCTCGGTCCTGGATCCGGCTCTGGACCTAGCTTAAAGGGGGGGGGGAGAGGGGGGGGGGGTGGTAGAGTTTAGGTGTGCGTAGTTTGAGGGATATGTTTTAGACCTCTCCGTGTTTAGCATTCTCCGTGCATGCCTGTATGACCTTGTATCACTCAATGAAAGGGCCATTAGAGAAGGGGAGGTGGGGGAGGGGTGGGGGAGGGGTGGGGGAGGGAGGAGGGGGGGAAGTTGAGGGGTGGGGTTCCGGGTTTAGCGTGAGGGGACCCAGGCGGTGGGTGGGGGGAAAGGAGGGGGAGCGAAGGGAGGAAGAGGAGAGGGGAGGGGGGGGGGGAAGGGGAGGGGGAGGGGGGAGGGGGAGGGGGAGGGGCGGAAGGGCAGGGGGCAAGGGGGAGCAGGGGAGGGGGAAAGAGGAGGGGGAAATGGGGGAGTGGGGAGGAAGGGAAGGGGTGGAAGGGAAAAAGAGGTGGGCGGCGGGAGGGGTTGGGGGTGGAGCGGGGAGGGCGGGGAGGGGGAATGGGGGGAAGGGGGGGGAAGGGGAGGAGGCGTTGCGCTCACCGTCGTCTCGCCCCCCGCAGCCTCTCTCTCCCCACCGTCTACATCCCCCCTATCGCCGTCTCCCCTTTCAATGTCTCCCCTTTCGACGTCTGTCCATTCGCCTCTACCCGCACTTCCCGCCGCGACTCGCGCCACCAAGCGCGTTTCCCGCCCGCGCGACCCGCCTGTGAGCAAACTCTCTCCCCGCACCCCTCTCCGCCCATTTTCCGCCTCCGCCACTCCCCCATGCCTAGCGCCGCTTGCGCGCGCCAGGGCCAACCAGCGATCGCCACGTGTCAGACCTACATTAGCTACTCTACCCCACAAGAATCTGCCAAAACCGCTACCTACACCGCTCACGCTACCACTGCTGCTGCGAGAAGGGGGGAGGGAGAACAAGGAGCTGGGGGTGAAGTGACGACTTTTGAGTCGACTTAGAAGTCTGCCGTTAGAGGAAGGGCGAAGAGAGTAGGACGGATCGGTTGCGGAAAAGAACGAGCCCGCGGTGAAATAACGAAGGGCAGCGGACGACATTGCGCGCCGAGCGGGGCGTCGCGGCGAATAACACTAGGAAATGTGAAAGCTGCTTGAAGCCAAATTCTATTGTTTAATAAAGTACGGACGGGCCAACCGTCGTGCTCTCGTAGCTCAGTTGGTTAGAGCGTATGGCTGTTAACCATAAGGTCGGTGGTTCAAGCCCACCTGGGAGCGCTTTTGTTGAGGCTTGGGTTATCCAGCAACTTCTGTTCCATGCCTCTTTTCAGACACAGGATCTGGTCAAGAGTCTTCTTGGCATCAAGCAGACTTGTGCAAGGTCAAACTGGTCTCTTGAACTTGTAGAGTCTGGGCCAGTCTATTGTACTAGACTTGCTCCCTCCACAACACATCCATTTATAACCTTCGCACATCGATCGGGACAAATTTGTTGCAGTAGATAGTAGGGTTTGGAAGGAATTTTGACTCTCTGGCTGATTCCAACTCAGGGTTGGAGAGCTTTGATGTGCTCTACTATGCGATACATTGTGGTGCTGTACGGTGATGGATGTTGATATGAACGAACCTCCGGGCTGGGGCAAGTATGGAGGCATTGATTGGAAATGCTGATTGTAAATCGGCTATTGAACCTCCCACTCCATGCATTTATCTCACTGTTTTGCTTTCACCAGATATTCGATGTGCAAGTGGCGTGTTTGGGAAATCCCAAAAGCCACCATTTACGGTACGTGAAGGTGTTTTACTTCCCATGAGCAGAGTACTCGTCCTCCTCTTTCTCCAGCTGTTCTTCCGGCAGCTCTCTCTCACCTCACCAGCACCAGTTCACACTTCTAGCAAGGTCCTAATTGGTTCCTAGAACCACCCCTCCATACCATACTATCCAAACCAAAGCCGTTGTTTGCCCTGTCAAACTATATGTGCTGCATATTGTCTAGGCTGTAGTGGGGTAGCCCATATGGGGTACAACCTAGTTAGGGTTTACTACTTGTACTCCTGCATCCTGTTAGTTCATCCATTCCTGCTGCTAGATTCTGACATGGTTTCATGATTCTTGCCTTGCCTTGCCTGCGCGCTGCCCCTAGAGGCCCGTAAGGCCCGCGCGCCGCCTCTACACGCCTGTCAGGCCCGTAAGACCCGCACACACGCTGCTACCGCGCGCTGCCCGCACCGAGACCGCGCAGCCCGCACCGAGTCGCGCGCAGCCCGCTGCAGCCACGCGCAGCCCGCACCGAGCCGCGCGCAGCCCGCTGCAGCCGCGCGCAGCCTGCACCGAGCCGCGCACAGCCCGCTGCAACCGCGCGCAGCCCGCACCGAGCCGCGCACAGCTCGCAGCTGCCGCGCGCAGCCCGCGCCGAGCCCGCGCAGCCCGCGTCGAGCCGCGCGCGGCCTGCTACGGCCTCGCGAGGCCCGCGCGCGGCCCGCAGCAGCTCGTGCCGAGCCGCGCGAGGCCTGCTCCTGCCTCGCACGGCCCGCGCGCGGCCCGCAACAGCCCGCGCCGAGCCGCGCGCGGCCCGCTACTCCCTAGCGCGGCCGCGCGCGGCCCTTTGCCTCGGCCCCGACCTGCCGCTGATGCGGCCCCGCCCAGCAGCTGCCATGGCCCCGACCTGCCGCTGATGCGGCCCCGCCCTGCAGCTGCCACGACCCCGACCTGCCGCTGACGCGGCCCCACCCTGCTCCTGCCGCTGACGCAGCCCCGCTCTACAGCTGTTTCGGCCCTGCTCTGCAGCCGGTTTTGCGGCCCCGACGTCGCCGCTGTCGTGCGCATACTCGAGCGCCGGCCCTGCTCTCCCAGCCTTTGGTGAGCGCCTGCCTGCCTGCCTGACGGCCTGCCTGTCTGCCTGCCTGCCTGCCGGCCTGGCTGCCTGCCTGCCTGCCGGCCTGGCTGCCTGCCTGCCTGCCGGCCTGCCTGCCTGCCTGCCTGCCGGCCTGCGTGTCTACTTGCCTGCCTGCCTGCCTGCCTACCTGTCTGCCTGCCTGCCTGCCTGCCTGCCGGCCTGCCTGCCTGCCTGCCTGCCTGCCTGCCTGCTTGCTTGCCTGCCTGCCGCGCCTGCCTTGCCTGCGCTACTGCTACTGGCAGGTGGCCAGATGCAGCTCCAGCGACATTCACGCGAGCCTCTGACGCCCCAGCAGCTTAGTGAGTGGTATACTAGCTGGGGTTGTCGTGGTAGCCGTCGTAGCTGTCGCCCTGGAGCTGGT